CTATGAGACGTTATTTCTAAGTACCAATGTTCCCTTGAATTTTGTCATGCCTAAATATATAAAATTTTCCCTCTCTCATTAATCCTCACACTAGATGCGATTTTTACGCTCGCTAGGCATGTTCACCTGAAAATCATGCCCATACCCTTATTCAAAACAAAATGCTATCAAATTTTAGTTTCCAAGCCGTTCTATGCGTGCGCATCCATAGCACGATAATTATAAAAAGAAGTAAACGCGATGACTGATTTGTAAGACCAATTTGATCTTCAAAATTCGCGGGAAAATCGATGTAAAAATAAACTGGTCTATGAAAACGCCGTTGCATAGCCACAAGAGAAATGCTCGCTTCGGATTATGGGCTTTTGATTTAGCAAGCTGATTAACAAATTACGTTCAATACATCACCTCCTTTTTTGCAAATGTACTTCAAAATTGTACCAGACTGTGCCAGCGTTTTTCCTTCAGGAGTCACAATGAAGGGCATTTGACCAAGAGGTGGTCTGCCAGCTGAAACAGAAAAGTAGTTTTAAGGGTTTTTTCAATGATTTTTTCATGATATTAGGCTACAAGCTGGCCTCTAAATATGGCATGCGCGGGATTTGTCAAATTTGTTCGATATTTTAAAACCGGGAAGGGGGGGATTGGATTGCTTTTGCACTTACGTAGCGGGATCCCCGGGGGAACAACCCACGGGATTTGTAGCGCCGCCGCCAGTTTGCAGATGGAGCTGGAAACGAGTGCCGATCCCGTCTGCGAAAGGACTGGGTATGTTGGTGTAAGCGACTGTTATAATTCTCTTGTATTCTGTTCCTTTCAGGTGGCTATCCTTCGCTTACATAGCGACTTTGTTTTTCGAAAGAAAACTACGATTCCTTCTATGATAATATTCTGATCACTGAAGTGTTAAATATCGAAAAAAATATTTATAAAATTATTTCCGCTGGAATTATTCATTTTCTTTTTTTTTACTTGAATGAGCAGGAAGTTTGCATATTAAATTATGTTTATTTTGTTCCTAGGTTGTTCTTCTCTTTCGGGAGCATAAAAAGCGAGTAGTAGTGGTATACACGACCCCACAAGCTTTCTAGCTTTAATTTTTTCGTGTCAAAATAGAGGGTTTTACGTTATGATATGTTACTTAAAAAGAACGAACGAGTTCCAAGGGAGGATCGTGTAGTATCAAAAGCACTCTAAGTCATCGTGACTAAGCAATTTTGTACACGACCACATCATCAAATCTTACCGATCGAAAATCAATCGAATGTGTGTCATGTATACGTATTTGCCATAAGCTTTGATCGCTTTACGTCTTAAACAGCTATTTAGGACACTGAATAAACGTCGCTCATAGATTTTGGTTCACGTTTATATTTACTTACACGCCTTCTCTTTCGGCCATTCTTCGCTTGGCACTCGAACGTCTTCGTACTCAATCTTTGCAGCTGCGAATGCAAGTCGACATTTTTCTGCTCCACCGCGGCCTGGAAAGTAGAACAACTTGTAGCCAGACATTTCTGTAGGATGTTTTAGTCGATTCTTTTTTTAATGTGAGTGCACGCCCTCAACACACCTACCGCTGAAGTTCACTGAGGAGTGTTGACTCTTCCGAAACTGACCTGCCTTTTAAAAATATACCACCTGAAATTAATTATGTAAATCTTACACACAAAGGCGTGTCATGTCACGCAACCTTGAAAAAACAAACTACAGCGGCGCGCGGGGTTGCTTTGAGGAAAGTTGAAATCTAGTTGTTCTTTAGCCTGGAAATGGGGTCATGGCAATAATAATAATAATAATAAAAAAAAACAAAACAAAACAAAGCACAAAAACCAAAAGGGTCGCTCGATAGGCTGCTTTATACAGGATACCTTCAAGTGAACTTGTCAAAGAAAATATTTCAGTTGTCGGACATTTTACGTAGAGGTAAGAATGTTCAGCTGGATGTTGCCAGTTTGGAAATTTTTTACTTAGGAATCATATCAGTTATATATAGTTTTGCCACAGGGTGAGATTCCCAAACGTTAAGAACAAATTTACTCGTGCGTAAACACCGAACAAAAGCTTGCATTTCAAAAAGCATCATAGATCACGTCTATGATTTTACGACACCACGCTGTGATATCTCTTTCACTGTTTAATCCACAGGGTCCAGAGGAGATGTGTTTGTCGTTAGAGCATTAAAACCCGTCGAAAACCTCTGAAAAAATGGGTTATTTTGATCGCGTTACAGTTTCGTTACACATTCTATAGACCGCAAACTAAGAGACTGAGGGCTCGCAAGATCCTTTTTCTTTTTACTCGGCACTTCGTGCCTCGGTCGCCCTTCGG